GTGCCGGTCTTAGAATGCACAAGAATTCTGGTTGGTTGGTTGGTTGTCCAAGATATTCTTGGATGTCAGTTACTGAGTTAGAGCAAGTGAGAACATAAGTAATGATCTTCTTGATCTTGATCTTGATGTGTACGTCAAGAAGCCTCAATAGGTGAATTACGACGGGTGGGGAAAGAGCGCTGAAAGACGTTAATCAGGGCGCGACAAACCCGCTTGACCGCTTGCCCGGGGCAACCAAAATTTGCCCCCGGGCAAGTAGCTTGAAATTGCACTTGCCTGTTTGGGCAAGCAAATTTTTTTTATTGAATGTCTAGACATAATGATATTTTTCTGTTTCCACTCGTCCTTTGCATTGTTTTACACAGACACAACATCGCGCTGCCTTGCTGCGACGAGATTTGAATGAAAAAAACAATGCGAATGGAACAATCAGTGCAACAGTCTTATACAATATGCATACAGCATTTTTTAACCCCGGCCAGGCATGGTCATTAAATGATCAGCTAACTCAAATGTTTGCCCCTCTACTGCAACCTGTGAATGAGGATTTTCTGTATGTTTTTCGGGCAAGTGACTTTTGCCTCCGGGCAACCAGTTTCATAACCCATTTTTTTGTAGCACCCTGCATCATGCGCGTTTTTTTCCCAAACTGGCCATTACCTCTTTTGTCTAATTTTCCCTCAGAAGAAACCCTGTAAACGCATGCGATCTCTGCTTGTCTTTGATACGCATACATGTACATTTATCTGACTGGCACGGCACTGACTATATCATAAATAAATTCATTGGTTAAAATTGGTTAAATAAAATCAGATGGTAATAGTAGTAATGGGAATCGGTTGGAATTTCATCATCGATCATCAGTTTCACCCAACCGATCAATGATCGAAGATAATTGTTTGAATGTTATTAATCACTGCTACCAGATATTGAAATATATCATATAATACAGTATTTTTTACAATACAATATTCTAAAAGCTATGTAACAGTATTATACTTGGTATGTTTGTAGTATGTTTGGTTTAGGTTAGATTTACTGTCTCGCGAACATGAAATTCACACAACGTTTATGTTTTTTGTGCCGGCATGCTCATTGTGTGTCATTCTCGATTGCAGCTTTTTCTTCAATTCCAGGAAAGAGTTTTGCTGTCGCCCTCTCATCGCAGTGGTGCCCACCCCATACATATTTAGTAATGAACATGCCCCACGCGACTTAAACAATCGTGTACCTCCCTCCACATCAATCAATTCTGCCCCTACCAGTACTGCACGTACACAGCCACTCTGGCGCTCTATTAATGAATCTGGGTGTCGCGGGCTGCTTTTTTCGGCGACTTTTGAAAATATAACGTGATAATTTTGTGCGCTAGCGCCCTCGCTCAAGGGATGTTAGGAATATTTGACATCTGAGTCAATAAACTTCTGAGCAAACACTGTGAGTACAGTTGTCTTTTTTCATAATCGATTATCTATTTTCATAATCGAGCGCTTAGTCGGTTGCTGCAAACGACTGACTTTTGATTATAATCGATCATCAGAACATCACTAGTTAATAGAGGATACAATGTCAGTATAAAAACCAGCACTTTGGCCAGTTTTATCATATGACTTCACCAACATACTTAGAATGTGTTACTTACTACTTATTTGCATTGCTTACTTGATTATACAGTTGGTAATTATTCCTAC